CGACAAAAATTACATAAATTCAACTTCAATGTGAAGATATAATAATTTATCACCCCATTAGTATCAAATCATTATTATAATTTCATTATTACTAATAATTACTAAATCATTACTATCAAATCATTAAATATTAATAATAATTTCATTATTACTAATCATTACTATCAAATCATTAAATATTAATAATAATTTTATTATTACTAATCATTACTAAATCATTACTATCAAATCATTAAATATTAATAATAATTTCATTATTACTAATCATTACTAAATAATTATTATAATTTTAAATATAAAATCATTATTAAATCATGATTATCAAATCATTACTAAATCAAATCATATCATTATTATAAATCAAACAAGTGTTCCATGGATGGGTATTAGTTATGTAACAAAAATATGGTTATTGAACCACACGTCCATTCAAATCTGTTCAAGTCCTCGAATTATAATTCATTACAAAATTAAATCTGAATAAATACATATAAATACATATATGATTACTAATGATGAGGCCTATATCTTGGTAAATTAGGAAAATTGTTTTTTGACTGGTCTTCACCCCTACATAATTTGTATCTCTTTGCTTGACCTCTCTCTCTAGCATGGAAATCCATACTTGTATGAATACGAGTGGACTCAGGTTGACCCTTTGAACTTCTGCGAAGCATTGGATTTGGCAGCCATTCATCATGATCCTTTTTGGGCCAATATGATTCATTCAGGATCTGTCTGAACGCATAGCTGTAGACATTTAATATCCTACGTAGGTGAAAGCATTCATCAACATAAGTGTATGAGCTTACACCAGCATACATACATGCATCGACTGCATGAGCACATAGATATTTACATGCCTGAAAATGACCACAATCACACTATTTGTGTCGTAAATCAACTCTAAATGTTTGGTCTTCTCCTCCGACGTTACGACGTATGCACGATACGACAAAAGTATGACTAACTCGGTTGAAATTCTGAACAACCATAGATGTTGCCAATCGCTCATTTGCTTCAATTGATTCGACCACTGTAGGAGCCCAAGTTTTACCTCTATTTATGAGACTCTCAATTTCCTTGCCTTTATCTGACCAAACCTTAGCCAATCTAAAGTACGTCTCTTTCACCACACTCGCTATTGGGAGATGGCGTGTACCTTTTAGTACCGAATTAATGGCCTCAACAAGGTTTGTGGTCATATGTATGTATCTCTGACCTTCATCGTATGCTTGCGACCATTTTTCCTGCGGTATTTTTGAAGCCCACTTCCAAACACGCTGATCATCGTAAAATACCTTCAAATTCTCCAATCTCTTATCAAAATTTGGTCGACGTAGTTCGTATCATATTTCATAATATATTGTGTTAAACCGCAATTAAAAAAACCACGTAAAAAATGCACAAATATTGAAAATAAAACTTACCCATGCTGACTATCTCGCTACGAATGTGTGCGTTATGAAACTGATCGATACTATTCTTACCAATATGACGGATACAAAATGTCAGATATGCATATAGAGGTATCCAACGACTTCCTGGTCATTCAATTGCCGCCAAAATACCCGTTCCTCTATCGGATATCAAGCAAACTCCATCTTGCGCAGATTGGTCAGAAAGAAATCCCAAGCCTCTGTTGTCTCTCCCTCAACAATTGTGAATGCAATTGGAAAGATATTTCGCTCACCATCTTGCGCAACTGCTATCAAGAGTACATGCCTATATTGAACATACAACCACGTACCATCTACTTGGATCATACGTTTGCAAAATGGAAATCCTTCAATACATGCCTTGGATGCCTAAAATAGTTTATGAAATATTTTCTTCACTGGCACAAGTTGACATTCTTCGTCATATGCGGGCATGGTTTAAGACTTCACTATGGTTCCTGGGACAAATCGCTTCATTTCTTGTAGAAAATGTGGTAGCTCATTGTACGATGTATCCCAATCTCCATACGTCAGCTTCATTGCCTTCATCTTCGCATTCCACACCTTGCCATATTTTACTTGATATCCAAATTGACTTCGAATAGATGCAGCTAACACTGAACAAGATATCCTTGGATCTTTTTCAACCATCGCCTTCACGTATTTGCATATTACATTAGAATCCAATAGTCGGTGGTCTTTTTCGATGGAGTTTCGCAAACATGTGTGCGGACCATTGTACCTCGTGATGACCCAAACATCGTGCCTTTGATTTTTCGACACTCTGATTTCCACTTGCACTCTGGGCCATATTTTATACATTTCGCGTATAGGGTTTTCTGGTTTGTCTCTGCAACATGGACATCAACATGGCATTTGATGCAGTACACTTTAATCGCCAGCGTATCTTCATTTTTTCCTCTGAATTGCACCCCAACTGAAAATTCACCAGAACTATCGAATGATTCAGCCATTTGGTACGAAGGTAAATGTGGCATGTCTGGGAATTCAGGTGCCCTCATCGCATTATAGTCTATCTCGTACATGTGAGGAGTAGATTCATACGGTGTCAGAACTTCATCAATTGCACCTTCACCGAAAAAATTTTCATCGTCGCCCAAAACGGGTTCTTCGGTTTCTTCATCTTCGCTTGAATCATCATGAATTTCTCCCCATCGATTTTCAGCATCAATATCAACAACCAATTTCGTTATGTTTATTGTCTTATACTCTGCTGCTGCAGATGTCCCTCCGACTTCATTTCCACTTTCTAATAGTTCCATAAAACTGTTCTGGAACCTGTATGTCGGGTACTCAAACTCACAATCGAAAGCCATTTCAGATGAATTTCGAGCCACATCTCTTGATGACCCAGGAACATCACATATGTTACACACATCAACAAATAACTCAATAACTGCTATATTGGTTGACTCATGTAATCCAATCATGGTTCCAATATCATCATCTTCTTCAAGTGGAACTGCAATATATCTGACTGGGTTGGGACATATCATAAATCTGTACCTCGAACCATCCACTGCAGCTCAAATTTTTCTTTCTATCTTCTACTTCATTTCTATAAATGTGATGTCTGTTTTGAACATCATATTTATTGGTTTTTCAGACTAAAAAAATAACTCCGACCTCATTTTCCATAATCTATCCATTATAATGGACAATCGTGAAAAAGTTGTTGCTTATTTTTCTACAAATAAAAAAAATATAAATTTAGATTAAAAAAATTAGATAAAATAATTTCATAAATCATTAAATCATTAAATATAATATAATATACTATTATATTAACGATAAAATAAAATTTATTATTTAACTTAATTGATTGATTACTAATATTACTAATAATGATTTAATAATTATTATTAATCTAATGATTTGATATTTAATGATTTAATAATAATATGATTTAGTCCATGATTACTAATAATTATTTATTATAAATATTTAATGATTTAGATTGGATAATATTTTTATTTTTTTTAAATATCAAACAAATTTGATAATTAATTGTTATAAATTTTAAGATTATATTCCATTCAATTTTTACTCCTTACTAATTTACACTTAATCTAATATAAATTAAACAAAATATTTTTTTAAAACAACACTAAATATTTTTAAGCGCAATATTTTTTTAAACGGGAATAAATTAAACAAATTAATTTTATATAATCTAATATAAACTAACTAACTAACTAATTTACACATACACAACAACAAAAAATAATAAATTACCCCATATTTATGCCTTCTTCCTTTCCTTTCTTTTCCTTTCTTGTTTCTTTCTTTGAATCAATCTGTACGTGGGCAAATGTTGTGGAATAATGCCTTGTACGTGTAAAAAAATTCTTTAAACAACAATAAATTAAACAAATTAATTTAATATAATCTAATCTAATATATTATAATATAACTTAAACTAATAAACTATTTCTTTATTATAATATAACTTAGTTAAAATAACAAACTAACAAACTAATTAAGCACTAATTAACTTTTTTTATAATATAACTTAAACTTCAACAAACAACCTAATATACGTTTAAACACACTAACAAATTAATTAAAAAAAATTTTACATTTAATAACTTAAACTAAGAAACTAATTAACTAATTTTTTATATAATCTAATATATAACTTAAACTAACAAACTAATAGAATATAACTTAAACTAACAAACTAATCATTTATACTAACAAACTAATTAACTAAAATTTTGTTTTGCCCTAAACCCTAAACTAAAAAACTAATTATTTCATATAATAAACTAAATTAAACAATAAAAAATTACATCACGAACGATGTTTGAGCCTTTATCTCCCTTTCTTCTTCTTCTTCTTTTCCTTTCCTTTCATTTCCTTTCTCTCGCCAAAATTTCTTTCTTTCTTATGATTCTACCCTAAACCCCTCATATCCAATATATAATGATATTTGCACGGTTTTAAGCTGCAATCAAAGTGAGCTCAATAATTTACGTTAAAGGCTGTATTTTCAACCTTTGAACGCTGCAATAATGCATTACTAATTGAAGCTATGACACGAGGGAGCAGATATGGCACGAGGGAGCAGAAGCTTGGTCGCCGGGCGTGCATGGCGACCAAGCATGTCGGTGTGCATGGCGACGTTGGAGGTCTCCCGGAAGGCATGGCGACCTATGTGGGAGTGTTGGTCATCATTCTCTCTCCGCTGGACGTCGTGCATGGCACATACATCATTTTCTGGATGTACAAGGGGGCTGGGAGTGCATGGTGACCTACAAATAAGGTCGCCCAGATGGCATGGCAACCTACAAGGTCACCCAGAGGGCATGGCGACCTATGTTTTGCATGGTACACGTAGTAGGTCGCCCGGAAGGCATGGCGACCTACGGCCAACACTGTGGATTTCATCCTATTTCAACAAATAATATGAAGAGTGCATTATCTCGTGAAATAATTATTTCGAGAACATTATCTCGAGAGTTTTTCCCTTTATATGTGATATATATGTATATATATATATATATATATATATATATATATATATATATATATATATATATGTTATGAAGCTTATACCAAATTTATCACCCTCTTCAATCTCCCACTCACCTCCGCCTTTTTCTCGGGAAAAAAGAGAAGTAGCTGGAGAAACAGTAGCAAATCAAAACAAGAGTGAAACAGCGATGGAAGGTATTTCGGCGACCATGTACAACGGCTTGAAAGGGTACTGGAAGAGAAGAAGCTACGTGAAGCTAAATGGTTCAAGTCGAGTACGGCGGAGAAGGGTGGAGCTCGGCACCTCACGGCGGAAGAGGTTCTGGAGGATTAAGATGAAGGCAAAGGTGAGGATAAAGTCGCCCAAGAGGTTGTTCGTTTGGCTACGCGATGCGTACGTGAAAATGATGATGGGTTTGGCTAATTCCAGGATAGTTAGCAGTGGGTACGGAGTAGGCGTAGCGAATCAAGGGATTGCTGCCTTGGTGAAGCGTCCGATGAAAGAGTATGACCAGAAAATGATCGTTGAGATCTACAAATCATTGGTGATAGGTCAAGGTCAGTTTGTGGCTCGGGAAGCTTTGCTCTGCCATCGTCTGTCAACGGTAACACAATAAGTTAACGAAATGATTTGTTGCCACAAATCCGTGGTGAAAACTGAAAAGATGTTCTACTCGATGAGCACTGGAGAAAGGAAGAACAATTCCTGATGCAAATAAAAAAAATAAATATGATTTCTTTTTTCCTCCCCCCTCTCTTTAAAGTGATTTTAGGGTTGATGAGTAAATTTTCGAGTTTTTAGATGCGCCTCAAGGGTTTATCTGTGTAACCAAAAGAGGTTTTAATTAATAGGGAAACGATGTTACATAGTTATTTATGCTTGTTTTAAGCATATTTGTTAAAATGTTTATGCATGCTAGACTGCTATTTTTCTCCACACGAAATTGCTTGATTAGGATGCATGGAAGTGGCCTTCAAATCTGATACATTTGTTCTCTAATCAACTTAGTTTTCTTGGAATGCAACTAGGAATTTATTATAGGGTTAATTTTTTTTTTATTTTTTAATAAATACAATTTGTTTTAATTGAGGGGTCTGATAATTTTAAAAAAGTATATATATATATATATTATATTAATTAATAATTAAAAATATAATTGGTGGACGCCAAAGCTTCCCTTACTCCCTTGGTTCTACCCCTATGTATATTTAGGAGCGAAATTAAGAATTTATTATAAGAGGTTTAAAATATTTTTTAGCTTGGGTCGCCAGTCGTTGATGAGGCTGTTAGCAGCGATGGGTACCTCCACGGCAGTCGGAGATGCCTGATCGGAGGCGAAGAGCTTCGCCCTTTTGGGGATACACAACTTGGGTAATTGATTTTCCCCCATTAAAACGTTTATTTTTTCATTTTAATTTATTTTTTATTTGTAAAATTATTTTTTAATATTAAAAAATATGTCACGTGGCATTTTTAATGAGTTAATGGCCAAAATTAAAGGTCTGTCACTGCGTGATTCATTTTGAGTTACGAAATGAAACGTTAGGCACCAAACTGAAACGAAAAAACGTTAGCCACTGAACTGAAAAACGGACATACATTGGACACCTTTTATATAATTTAAACCTATATATATACACAAACAAAAACTCGAATGAAAACCCCGAACAAAAAAAGCAACTACAAAATAAATGTTGGGTTAATAGTTTGGAATTGATTATAGATTTTTTTAAAAAAAAATATTACATGTGGATTTTTTTTGTTGTTGGTTATGGATATAATACATAAAAATGCTACATCGATAAGTCAACTCATGTAGACTATTCTAATCAGCAAAATACATTCATCGTTATTTAACTAATAATTTTGTAAAAAAAAATCTAACCCAAAATAAATGTTGAAGATTAAGGTATTTCAAAAATAAAAATAAGATATTAACGAAAACCAATATATAATCGCCAACAACTTTAAGCAAAGTCAAAGGTTCGAATCTTATAATTTTAATTTAAAAACTATAAAATAATTAAAAAAACCATGATTATTTAAATAACGCGATCACAAACAACTATAATATAGTTTTGGAAGATAGCATTTGTTCAATGTATGGACATGAGATGTGTATCTGCAATTCTATTCATTGACGAGATGAACTTTTGGTTCTTTTTTCACCAGGGAACCGTGTGATGCACGTATGCTGCATTATTCAAGATACAAACTCAAACATTGGGGTAAATGAAAAATTCTTGCCCAGGCAAGAAGGTGGTCTTATAATAATGTATGATCTGGTTAGTGCATACGATGATAATTACTGGGCACAGGTTTCGATCTCAAACCATGACCCTCTCAGTCGCCTGGATAATTGGCATTTGAGCTTTGATTGGATGAGAGAGGAATTCATTTACACCATTAGAGGAGCTTAACCTTTTGTTGTTGATACAACAGGTTGTGTTTTTGGTAGGCAAGGTCAGTATTATCAAGGCATGGATTTTTCACAGGTATTGAATTGTCAGATAAGGCCTACCATTATCGACCTACCTCCGACAATGGCGAATGACTCGAATCTTGGACGAATCCCCTTCTTCTGTCGAAACGGGACTATTCTTCCTCCTCTAATGGATCCGAGCAGGTCTAAATCATCTTTCTAAATGCAAGTTTACAAAATGCCACCAGACTTGAATAGGACAGAGCTAGCTTCACCTGGGAATTGGAAGATCAATTGCACTATGAATCCAGATTATGAATGCGGGTCACCGGTGCGAGTTAGCCCGAGTCAATTCCCTGATCCAAGTGGTTTGCCTTCAGAAACAGCAGCAGTTGCTAGTTGGCAAGTAGTCTGCAATATGACACAGTCCATGCGGGCAGTTCCAAGATGTTGTGTTTCGTACTCGGCATTTTTTAATGATTCTTCTATCCCATGCAATACATGTGTCTGTGGCTGCAACCGCAACCCAAGTCAAACCTGTAGTGCTTCGGAGCTCACTCTACTTCTTCGACCCGATTCTCTTCTCATACCTTTCGAGAACAGAACTGCTGAAGCTTTGGGGTGGGCTGATATAAAACGACGAGCAGTTCCGAATCTCTGTGTGGAGATAATTTTGGAATTAGCATAAACTGGCATGTATTATCCGATTTCAAAGATGGTTGGGAGTGCAAGGATCATTATTTTTAACTGGGGTGAATCTAGCTTTGAAGATTGGTTCACGGCCGTTCAATTGGATAACGCCGTACCAGGCTTCGAAGCAGTCTACACCTTCAATGGAAGCGTGCTGCAAGGCTCCAACAACACAATATTCATGCAAGGACGTCCAGGATTGAATTATCTTCTAGCGGAGACAGAGGGTTCCAATCCAAGAAAGGATCACCTGTGTTCCCGGAACTCAATAATCGGTTATCTCATTCAAGAAGAAGTCTACACCAGGCATTCAAGTGGCAACCCGGGATGGGTTTCCGACCAAAGTGTTGTTCAACGGAGAGGAGTGTGCACTTCCCACTATACTTCCTAGAAAAGCTCCCATGACCAGTGCAGCAAGTAGCATTGTTGGCTTTATAACACTTGCTATGCTATTGCTAATGTAATACTGATGAGCTTTTGGATTGCTTGCCTTTAACTGCTCATAACTAATGTTTTTAAGCTGCCCTACTCCATATATCCAATTATTCATCCATTTGTTTGCGGTATAATGTAAAATGAGAAGATAATTGAGATGCCAATTGGCAAGCAATATTCCACAATACCAAAAGAAAATTGAAATTGAAGAAATGAGAAGAACAAGTCGTGATGTCCAGAGCTTCCAAAGTCAGTAAAAAGTTCGAAATCGAAAACTCAAATCAATTCCTATACTAAACTAGCTTCTTGTTAAGCTGAAGAATCAACAAAATGCACCTATGAAAGAAAACATTAATCTAACTTTGTGTCAAACCAAAACAATTAGAACTGCACGAGAGGTATCCAGCCATGTTAGATTGAAGTCCAACAAGTGCAACCTCCTGCTGCTGCAAATAACAAACAGTCAAAAACTTTGAATCAGTAACCGTAACCATAACCCAGCGGAAAAATACATTACATAGTCCGTTTTAGGGATCGTATAGTCCGTTTTAGGGATCGTTGACTTACTTGTTATGTGACTTTTATCTACTATTTGATCAGATTCAGTCAGGTTCTTAATCATAAAAAATGACTAATAGTCATACATTAGTTACTTGTTCAAGCTAGCCTATCCAAAAGGTGCACAAAAGAAGTCCACATACCAAAAACGAGGGTTCATAGATCATTTCATCAGCAGTCGAAAAAGGGTTTGGAAGCTCCATAACATTTCCTGCATTACTGTGAGGATTTTCTTCATTTGAGATGGCAACACCATCACCAGGAGGGAAATCATTATGGTATAACAAGTTCAGCTGAGAGAGGAAGAACATATCGGCCCCTCCGTTGACATGACTCGGAACTGAACTTAAAACATTTGCATTCGCAAGATTTTGCTGTGGAAGTTGATATGTAGCAGAGGGTGTGGGTTGGATCTGTTGATAGGCATTGAGATCTCTGTTACTAGCAGATCGTGCATTTTCTCTCTTCAGATGCATGCGGTATTTCTGCAAGATTTTTCACTTAAAAGGTAAATATATTCCTTAAGGGTGCATATAAAAAATGTTAATAAATTGCACCTGAAGGTGGCTGGCAATGTTTGATCTTGTAAGATAAGTAATATTCATAGCTTGCATACGCTCCAAAATTTTCTTTGGAATGTCATCTGCAACATGCCAGATTAAAAACAAAGCATTTTTCATAGTAAAACTCTATAGAGCTAGAATAGTTCATACGGCCAGATCCAAGTTGATTTACAGCAGAAACAAACAGCGCATGGAGCTCTTGTGTCCAAACCACCCTAGGCTTCTTTCCATTCATCCCGGTCATCGCATCGTCAGAGGATTCACCGTCATTAGATGAATCACCGCTCCTCCGTTTTGCGCATTGCAGGTTTCTTTTACCCGTTTTTGGAACGGTTCGATTAGCAGCAGCTGCATCCTTGGACGGTTGTAATAAGCTTAACCTGTCGGTAACATTAATGTTAATGTTTTCAATGCCAGGGTGCTGGAATTCTTGAAAGATACGTTTCTTATTGCGAACCACATGCTGCCAAATGAGACTAATTGATTCCTTTCTAAATGGTTTCACCAAATAATCAGACTCCTTTGATTATATACTGCACAACAATTCGTCGTCTTTCATCCGAAGACATCACTGTGTAAAACATAAACACGACGATTCAAATATATATACATATCCAGATTCAGTTGAAAAAGCGTAGAGTTATGGAAATTAATTGCATATATTTTGTAACTTACTAACGACAGGCAAGTCCATCTCTGATACAATGATCTCAACAAGCTCGAGTCCATCAATGTCAGATAAATGTGAATCACAAATGACAATATCAAATCTGAACTTGCTTCGCCGAAGCAAAGCAAGCGCCTCACTCGCATTCCGACACTTGGTAACTGAAAATCACTATGAAGTTGGGATCATGAAATCGTCGGAACAAAACTGGTTTTTTCATATAAAAATTACGATCTTCATTCCAAAGGATAGACACTTATAAACAACAAAACGGATATTAAAAAATAATTAATACATAAAAGTTCGAGAATCATGATTAATCATTGATTAAACACATCATGTTTGAATTCAGAAAACGCGAAACATGAAACAATAATCCAAAACAAGCAGTAATTAATTCGCAGTAAACAAGCAGACAAGAATAACATACCTCGGTATAACAACTTTCGAAGCATTGTTTCCAACACTAGGAGAGATGTTTTATCTTCATCAACTATGAGAATTTCCAAATCTGCTGGGAAATCAGCAACACCATTATCATCAACTACGCTCATTGGAACTGATCTTTGAATTTTCTCTTTACTTATTGACGGAACATAATAAATGATAGCAAGTAAGAAGATTAGGGTTGAACTTTTTTATCCATTTCACACCTCGCTGTATCTGGAAACCAAAGTTTTTATTATTAAAGCTGAGTGAGAGAGAGAGAAGGTTTTAGTTAGTTTGTTTGGTTTGTTAAGGTGTGGGAGAAAGAGTAATTTAAATTTGAAGAGACCGTCCATTCTCCTCCGATAAATTACACGGGTCAGCTCCGCAACATCCAACACAAAACCAGCGGCTGCACCTACATAAAATGAACCGATATCCCTTCACTCTCCTCTCGACACGTGTTTTCTAGTTTACTAATAACAAGTTCAAATAATATGTTGAGCTTGAAAAATCTTTGACATTCTCGATTCTTCTTCTCTGTTTTTCTTTTAAATTCTATTATTGAGCACACCATTTCTCTTGATTATTTTGACCTTGCAATTCTGATTTTTATGTTATCGGATCCATAAGTTAAAATAAAGCATGTTTGATATTTGCTATAAAAATAAATATACTTCACTAAAAACTTTATAATAATATTCTCATGTATAGTTAGTGTGATTTTTTTAATACGATATGATAATTGTTTGAGATTCTTATATCATATTTTGTCATATCCTATTTAGCAGGTTAACATCCAGATTAGATTGTCGTTAATTTTTTAATGAAAAATGACGAAGTTTGGAACATAATGAATAGTCAGGTAACCATTTTGTAAATTTTAATGGTTGAGGGACTCAACAATACAACTATCTATAATCAAAGATCATTTTGTAACTTATAATGTTCAAGAGACTTAACAAAGCAGTGTCCTATAGTCAGGGGACCATTTGTATATTTTTTTGGATAATTAAGATTTTACTACCTAAAATAGCAGAGAACTGCTACAAAACCAATCCAATCAATGGAACAAAAGAAAGGGGAACCTATATACAACAAAAACCAGATTATACCCCAATGATTACAAAGAGATAAATCAGTGTTATCTAATCTATTAACATTCCTATTACTTAGATGAGTTCTTACAATCTGCTTGATTGAGAATAAAACTTCATCCTCAGATCTGTAACTTTCTCTAAAAAGCCTTCGGTTCATTTCCTCTCATATAGTGTAGTTGAATGTGCACCAAGAAAGTTTCAGGATACTAGTAAGCAGTGATTTTCCTTTCCAAGTTGCAGACGCCCAAACCAATAAATTAGACCAAGTGAAAGGAGGTTTGTGAAGACCAGAGAGTTGAAGAATTCAGTTTCAAATGGAAGCATCCGTCTTACATTCAGCAAAAAGGTGATTTCTGGTTTCACATGCTTCAGAACGGAGAATGCACTGATAATTAGTTACTAATCTAAACAGTTGCAGTCTGCCCTTGGTAGGTAGTCAATCCAAAATTACCATCCATGATATCATTTTGTGTTTAGGGATATGAAGGGGGTACCAGATAAGATTTTGCCATTGAAACTTTACTATCCTTCAATCAAACCTCTTCCTATAAGAAGTGGTTGAGCAACACTTCAAAGTTTCATAATTTTCCTGAGGCTCCAACTAGAGTTCGAAGTTTCTTCCAAGAACCAGAAATTTTGGTGCTTGATTATATAATTGTGGATCCAAGCTACCCATAAGGAGCCCTCCCCTGCTAGTAAATTTCTGATAAGAAGAATCATGCATACTCTGTTCCAAGTCTTGATGTCCTTAAGGTCGAGTCCTCCTTCAGACTTAGGCTTGCAAATTCTGTCCTATCTCACTCTTGCTCCAGCAGCAGGTATGTCAAATCATTTCCAGAAATATCTAGAGAAAATTTGCTCAATCTTGTTGATGATAGATTGAGGCAATATTAATTGTCTGCACCAGTAGTTGACAACACTAAAAAGGACTGTTTTAACAAGCTCAAACCTGCCTGCATAGCTCAGTTTCATCCTAGACCATTGATGAAGTCTGGACTTAATCTTGTCAATATGAGGTTGACAGTCTTTAACAGTAAGTTTCTTAGTGATTAGGGGAATCCCCAAGTATCTAACAGGCAAAATTCCATGCTTGAAACTAGAAACATTAGTAATATTATCAAGGGTATGAACAGAGATGCCAATAGTAAAAATCTCACATTTAGCTGCATTAAGTTTAAGACCAGAAAGTTCATAGAAGTAGTCAAGAACAGTAATAACTCCCATGAAAGAATCAAGATTGCCTTTGCAGAAAATTAATAAGTCATCAGCAAATGTTACATGAGTAAGAGCAATTTTCTTGCATTTAGGGTGGAAGCTAAATATCCCTTTAGAAGCAGCATTATTGAGGATTTTGGATAAGATATTCATAACCAGAATAAACAAAATAGAGGATAGAGGGTCACCTTGTCTAAGTCCCTTAGCACCCTTGAAATATCCAATCAAGCTTCCATTAAAGGCGATAAAATAGCTAGCATCAGAGTAGCAAGAAACAATCCACTCAATGAATTTACTTGGAAGCTATAATGCCTTAAGAACAGTAGGAATGAAGCCACAGTGGATTGAGTTAAAATCTTTTTGAAGGTCTATTTTCAAGGCACACCTTAGTGATATGGTTTTCCTCCCATATCCTTTCACAATTTCCTGAGCAAGAAGAGTATTGTTAACAATACTCCTACCTTTGACAAAAGCAGTTTGATTAGGAGAAATAATCTTTGGTAGCAAATGAGTCATCCTCTTAACAATGATCTTTGTAATGGTCTTGTAGATAACATAGCAACATGATATAGGGTGGAAATCAGAAACTTTGCTAGGATTAGGGATTTTTGGGACCAAGGCAATAGTTGTTGCATTAAAAGCTTGATAGATGAATGACTCTTGGAAGAAAAACTTAATAGCCTCTGTCACTTCATCTCCAATAACAGGCCAAGCTTTTTTGAAGAAAAGAGGAGTATAACCGTCAGGACCTGGAGCCTTGTCATTACCTTGACTAAAAATAGCATCATTGATCTCTTTAGTTGTGACTTCCTTAGTGAGTCCATCATAGTCTTCATTGGTGGGAATCGGTTGCAACAAGCCTTTGAGGAGACTGGTTAAGCATTCTTTAACTTTAGGATCGTAAGAACCTAAAAGTTTTTTGAATAAATTAATAACTTCCGAGGACATGTCATCAAATAAGTCAAGCCTTCTTCCCTGTTTATCAACAAAGACCCTTATAGTATCTCTTTTATTCTTAGTTGCAATGGCATAATGAAAAAACTTGGAGCACTTATCACCCTCTTTTAACCAGTGCATTTTAGCTTTTTGTTTTAAAAACATGGCCTCAGCTTCCTCTAAAGAATTGAGATCTCTTTGCAATTCCAGTTCCTTGTCAATGAGCTCAACACCTCTTAAGGTTAGAATTTGTTGTTTCTCAATTTCTTCTCTTTTTTGTCTGACCCGAACTGAGATATCACTAAAGTAGTCTTTGTTAAGATTTTTTAGACTTACTTTAAAGCATTTAAGCTTGAGAAAAGGATTCTTCATTGGATTGCCTTGGGTTACCGGATACCAAGACTGACTAACAATGTTTAAGAAGTTTTGGTGAAGAGTCCAACAATTGAAGAATTTAATGGGCTTGGGTCTGTTTAAATGAATCTCTTTGTTAAGAGTCACTAATGCCATACATTGGTCAGAGGGGGCCAGCCAGGGGCCAAGAATTCCACAAATGAGTGAAGAAAAGTTTCAAACCACAAAGGGTTGATAAGCACTCTATCAAGTTTTCGAGCAAGAAAGTTTTCATTTTGCTTATTGATCCATGAGTAAGTTGGACCAAAAAATGGATGATCTTGAAGCTGAAGGTCCTAAGTGACTTCTTGGAAGTCTAACATATCATAGGAGGTAACCAGACCTAATTGTTCGTGGGCAGAACTTTCATTTGGGTACAAGATGATGTTAAAATCCCCTACAAAGATCCAAGGGAAGTTACTAAAGCTTGATTCAATATTTCGGAGGTCCTGCCATAAGTTTCTTCTTGTAATTCCATTATTGTAACCATATATCGTAGTAATTATGAAGGGAACATTATTGAAATAACATTTAACAATAATATTATGAGCCGAGACATGGCATAAGGAAATATCCAATCATTTTCTCCAAAAAAAAACCATATCCTTCCATTCACTGCATAGTCATAATTGGAAAAAAACATTCCAATTCTCAAATCTAGATGCTAATAAGTCAGTAGATTTTTTAATTTTAACTCGAGTTTCCAGCAAGCAGAGAATATCAACATTATTAAGGGCTGCCCTTCTAAGGACTTTGCCTTGTTTTAGAGGATTGTTTAATCCTTTAACATTCCAAAAAGAAATTATTATTTTCCTTGGGATTATGAGACTGTTTCCCCTCCTTTACTACCTACTGAAGAACCTTTTGCCTTATCAAGGCGAGACTTCTTTTTTGTTTTGAGTTAATTAATCAATTCTGCAACACCAGAAGTTGCTGCTTGTCCGCTGTTTGTGAGTACTATAAATGGGTGCGGATATGTGTGCAAGTATACACAATCGAACAAGTAATAAAGTGATAAGTAGAGTATCGTCTCCACAGGGAATTGGGGAAATCAAATAGGTTTGTCAAGGCACTTTACTTTGTCACCTAAGTAAAGTTAGTTATGGTATATACAGATGAGAATGCAGTGGCATAATGGAATGGACGTAATGGAAATAGAGTGGTGATAGTATGGTAGCAGATGGATATGTCGTGGCAAATTAAATTGTGATACATGAAAACAAATGGAAATGTCAAGGCAAAATAAAAATGCAAATACTAGATTTAATATATGTAGGACTTTAGCTTTCTCACAAGACAAGCAGCAATGGAAATGAGTGATGGGAGACACAAGGAAAACTTAAGTCTATTTCTCTTAATGGTGCTTCTTCTCTGCTTACCCTGCCCGACAGAGTCTACTGATGTGCCCTATGCTATCTCTAGTAAGGGACTCGACAGAATAAAGATGCCCTGGCAAAACCGATTGGCGTAAGCCCAAGCAGTGA